TGCAAAAACCGTGGCGATTATGTGGTTTGGCAACTCCAATAAATCACCAGTGTTTTTATTTGAAAAACAGGAAAAAATAAAAAGGCCAAGTTTTAGTATACTTCATATAAATTGGTATGTGGCGGTTTATTCAATATACATGTACTAAGGTTAAAGCTAGGTTACAATGTTACCTTGATAAGTGCGCAGGAGTGATGGCTGGCAGACGTCCGTTGATCCTTGAGTTCTCGCTAGAAGTGCCCGCGCTAATTCTTGCGAAGTTAAGTTTGACCTCCAAGCAGCAAACTGTTTGGAGGGGAAACTTAACGAAGTTTGATATTCAAGCGGTAAACTAATATTTGTACATGCTAACGGCTTCGCCTTAATCAGGCTGCCTATGTATATGTGCATCCGTTGCACATTTATAAAATGCAACGTTAGGGTGGTTCACCCTTTTAAGTATTTGGTTTAGCCTTTAGGCCTAAACATGCCGGCCCTCCTTGCTATATGCAACAGCAGTAAATCAAGTCAGCCACCACTCCTACGAATAATTAAAGGAATTGAAAAAATAAATGTTGATTTTCGTTGAAAACGTAGTTATCACCATTGATGCTCGTTTCGGATTTTTCAGTCTGTGGGAGATAAGAAATTAAATAAACAGGACATGGCTTGACATTTCAGTGCACAAATGTATTTTTATTCAAAATTCAAGAAAAAAAATGTATATTGCAGTCGGTAATTCGTAATCGATGATAAAATTGTTTATATATATATATATATATATATATATATTTTTTTTTCCGTTCAAAAAGGTGAGTAAATTTTGATTCAGGATCGGCAAGCCCCCGACAGTAGCCAGCCGAAAATGCTGTTTTGTGCCACGAGAGGGCCGAAGGAGGTAGGGAGGGTGCCCGGCAGGAGGATCTCCGGGTAAACATCTGCTCCCAGCACCAAGCGAATCGGAGTTGAGGCGAAAAAGTTGGGGTCTGCCAAACGAATGTTGGCATAGGTTGCGGCTATCGAGCGGTCGACGCTGGCGGTAGGGCTCATCCGCACGTAATTCGCCACTACTGTTGCGTGTACTGACACCCTCGTAGTTTGCCCATACTTCCCTCGCAGCCGGATCATGCAGCTTTGGTGGTTCCCGAGACCAATCTCCTCCAGTCCTAATTCCCGCACCAAATCGGCGGATATCACGGACGTTGGCGCGCACACATCTATTAAAGCGCGTACAAGATGTAGGCGTCCTCCCGATTCTACCTTGACAACAGCTGTGGGAGACATTGCCGTAAATGGTCTCAAGGTCTGCGCGGTAAGTGTTGCCTGGCCAGTTCTAAAGGCGATGGGTAGCTGGCGAGGCCGAGTCTCCAGTCTACCCCGTTGCTCGTTGCATCTGGAAATCGCGTTGCTTATGTGCCGAGGGCGGAAAGTCCGAGTTTCCGCTCCACGGTGCTGTCGATGTTCGTCCAGACGGAGTTTCCGCTCCACGGCGCTGTTGCCGTTCGTCCTGACGGTAAGACGCTCTTCTTGTGGATCGTGGGCGGAAAGACCGAGTTTCCGCTCCACGGCGCTGCCGTTGCCGTTCGTCCTGACGGTAAGACGCTTTTCTTGTGGATCGTGGGGGGAAAGACCGAGTTTCCGCTCCACGGCGCTGCCGTTGCCGGGATCGGAAAATCCTTGTCTCTGGGCCACCCACCCGTGTCTCATGCTTCAATGGGGGTCGGAAAGTCCGGGTTTCCGATCCCCTCGTTGAACTCGGGAGATTAGTACTTGCTTCCGCCACAGGTTCAACTATTTCGCCTTCTTCGATGTCAGGGCGCAGCGATTGGGAATTCGTTCCGGAGTCCGAGGCGTAAATCGACAGAACGTTTTCTCGTTCCTCCTCGCTGGCGACCTGCTGGCTCCAAGGTCTTCGGTCAATGGGCTCTTCGTCGATGTGCAATGTGGTATGGTGCTTATCGTGGCATCGACGGCATCGATCCCGGCTGGTGCACCTTTGTACGCGATGCGTCATTGATAGGCAATTGCTGCAAAATCGCCCGAGCAGAGACTCTCGCAATCGTTCTTCCGGGGCCTTTGCCCGATATACCGGGCATAATCTGATCGGGTGCTTACCATCGCAAAGTCGGCACGCTATCGGATAACGATCAGTGCGGCGTTCCGCTTTCTTTCTTAGCATTGTATAGCGAGTCATTATTACCTGAAAATGGTTATTTTGTCGATGTTTCGATCGTAAAGTCATTGCTATTATTGATATTTATTCTTAATATCATGGTACTTATGGTTGGGTGGCGAGAATTACATCATATAATTATAGAACCGTGAATTGGCATATATTACTTGCGCGCTCTAAACCCACGTTGGTGTTGGTCTATGATTGACGTGTTCAATTGGTCGTGTAAGGGGTGCATAATATTGCAATATTATCCGAGCATATGAAGATTGTGTTTGCTCCTTTATATACATCTAGCGATAAATTTTTATCGATTTTGAAAGTTACACCCATCAGTGAGCTGTCATACTCTAGTAAGATACACGGACTATTAATATTGTAAACAAAGCGTATTAACTACAATTCATAGTGATAAGGCCATGCTTCTGCGATTGAGCATAGTTATGTATGTTCAATGATACGTCTGTAGTGCTCGTGGTTGTGTTCTATGTTGATTGGATGTGTTTGTGTGAGGGTTTGTATTATGTGCATGTTAGATGTGCAAAATCTGTCAAGGTCGCGCATTTCGAAAGGTGACGGATAGCGCAGGTGCAGCTTATATGAAAGGTGACTTTGAAAGCAGTTATCATCAGTGTGGTAGATGTGAAAAAGAAATAAATACATAAAATATGTGGTTGGTTTGCACACTGATTATAGTTGTCAAAGTCGAAAGTTGTGCTACTACCTTTGCCTGCTTACACAGCGAAGAATGGGCGTTAAACATTCGTATGCATTTATCAGACCTTGCTAATAGGCTGTTTTTGCTTACGCGTAAAAGCACATTTAGCGCATTTAGCTCTAAATGCTACTCTAAATGTACATTTATCCATACAAAATTCGTCACCTAAATGCAACTAAATGCAACTCCATTTTTGCATTCAGAATCTAAATGCTAAGAGCAACCCTGTGATCTTCCAAAATTTCCACGATTCGAACATGGTTTAAAGAGAAAAAGTGGCAACATTGCTTTTTCGAGTATACAGTTTCTAGCTGCGTTTCAGTGATCGCCGATCGAGATTTCTTTTATTTTGCATTACATATTTGGATAAAGAAAAGTTAAGCAAATTCAACATCGATTCGATGCTGATAGAAATCTGGATCAATTTGTGATCAACTCAGTTTGGTTTGTTTCCTAATTAAGTGAGGAAATTTTAATTGACAGCACCGACTAATGAATATATACACAAACAAATGTTCGGTTATGGTTAAACCAATTCAAGTTTTTGTGTTGAATTTTTGGTTTGAAAGCACTTGCACCAACAATGAACAGAGCTAATGCAGTTCGGGCAAGTTGAAAACTTGCTTGAAAGCGTTACATGTATCATAACTATAGTACTGGTTTCACTGGGTGATTATGGTGAGGTTCTTCTCACCTTGGCCTGCCACCCCAAAAAAAAGAGAAAGAGAAAAAAAAAAAACTAAAACCAAAAAAAGTATATTAAAGATTACGTTTATTAAAAGGAATGCATGAGGTTTTATTCAATTTGCATGTATTCCATGCAAATATTTTCCTCGGATTAACCTTGTAGCAAGTGAGCAGTAGATGTCGCCGTTAAAAAGATGCATGTTGCCACATACTCTAGGGGCGAGAAATTTTACACTAATATCGTAAACTTCTGTACCTAACTTGGCAACACCCTTCGAATGAAAGGAAATGTCATTCATAATTTTCCACGAGGCCAACCGGTAAGTGTTGTAGGTTATTATATTTTGTGAATTTTTAATTGATCATTGTTGAATTTTTCATTCATTTTTCTTTTTCAGGTCCCAAACGAACAAAGGCTAAAAAGTACGTTTTACCCCTTCTCAAAAGAAAAACAGCAGATCGAATTCCTCAGCAATGAGCGTAGTTAAATATATTGGTCGTACAACTGATTTTCGCGGTAAGACACTGTGGGAGATTGTGGGAAATCTGCGGGACTCTGGTGTTGGCCGGCTCGTAATACGTAACAAATTCCAACGATATGAGGAGCCCTGCTATATGCGTATACTTAAGGTGGAAGTTACTCCACATGATCCTGAAAAGGACCCTATTCGTACAGGTCCCAAACGAACAAAGGCCAAAAAGTGGAGCTACGAAAAGGTTTGCACTCTTCCAAAAAATGAGATTAAACGCGCAAAATTTCGGTATAGTTGGTCGTTCTTTGGCAAAACTAGTTATTTATATACCTGCTGTTTTAAATTACTAATTATTTACGTATTAGTTACACGTAAGAAATGCAGTGTTTACAAAAATATTGCGGCTCGCCGAACAGATTGGTGGAACGCGACCTGGATTTGCATCTGCGTGCAAAACGCGCCAAAGATTGTCTGCGTTGGGGTTCTTTGAATGTAGTGTTGCTAGCGATACTGCTTTTCGACATATCTAATCAGTGTCCATATTCATACTCCAAATGGTACTATGTAGAATATTTGGCGGCTGCGCTATCGGGACTTGGAGCATTTTCATGCTTCTTAAAGTACTTTCTCTACCTATTCCATACAAATCCTTTATTGGGCACAAAGGAACAGAAAAACTTACTCAAGTTTGATGAGTGTGATTCCTCATTTGCTGTTACACCACCAGCGCAAAGAAAAAGCAATCATGCGATGATTTGGCGCCTAGTCAAATCAGCAACGGCCCTGCTGCTCAAGCTGCACCACTAAAACCACGACCGCATACATCTAGCGCATTGGATGCATCACTTACAGCAACGGCGCTGCCGGAAATACCAAGGGCTTAGTATTGGTATTCTTTATTCTTGTTTTATTTTAATTTTTGTTTTCACGTTCCTCTAATGCTTTCGGTTTTCCTAACAGCCACTGTTATTCATCCGAACGTGCTTTGTTGGAAACGTAAAGGCTGAGAAGAAGCCACCGTCCTCCGGCGGATTTCGTTGTAGTGGAAACATGCATCATATGTAGCTGGTAACTTCTTCCGGATACCGTGAGTACCTTAACCTTTTTATGTATGTACTTACGCCTCAGATTCCTACCTTGTTTATACTGACTCATAGAGCGATTTGACTCAGATCATTAGCGCACACAAGGGGTCACTTTTGGGGTTCAAACCCCTTGAAAATTTTCTTGAAGAAATAAGTATTAGAGCTCTAGATACCCGGTTATCGAGCAATGCGAATAGCTCGACACTCGCTCGAAACTCGTTCATTGTTCAACTGCTCAAATATTTGTTTAAAATTTTCGAGTTTTTGAACAATTTCATAAACAAAAGAAAATTTGTAAATTGTATTTGTCAGCAGCTGCTTTCTAGTTCATGTTAAATACCAATGTAACAATCTTTGCATTATATATCAATAATTTGAAAAATTTAAGAAGTTGCTACCAAAAATGTCAATATAATAAAAAAACTTTGCTCAAATTACTCGAAAAAAGGTGTACTCGCTGCTCATATACCCGGGCTGTTTGAAAATGTGCGAACAAAATCGAGAGCTCTAATAAGTATACGCTCATTTTTTCCTGAGGGATGCAAATTGGTTTTAGAAATTTTGATAGAAGAAAATTCCTATTCCATTTCTTGTGCGCCATTTTATATGAATTTTTCGTTTTTTTTTTTGAGAGCTCTTAAAAGTTTAACTGCGAATGAAACCTAAAAATATGCAATGCATACTCACTTACAGAGCCTAAAAGAGTTTACAACTGATATGTCCTTAACAAGGATTCGAAGATTTAATTTGCCCACTTCTCGGTACTCGAAATATTAAAAAAACTTAGGCAGTCGTAAAAAATCACCATCTCATTCGAAAACCAGAAACCCGATATTGAGGAAAATGAACATTAAAACTCTTCTTTTTTTATTTTATTTTTTTTTTCTTTTTATTACTTTTGCAAGTTGAGCGCATCTTGTGTTTATAGAACTTTATATGAAACACGTAATTTCAAACTACGGGAAGACCATTGAGGTAACATCTTTCCGATAAAAAAAGGAAGTATTGAAATCGGTTCACGTGGTCCAAAGTTATGCGTTAGTATACTATTCCGACAAATTGATAACCTACCCCTTTTGCGAAGTCGGTTACAAATGTTTGAGTTTTTTGCTAATTTTATGTAAATAAATGCACTTTATGAAACTTCAAAAAGTTTATTTATTTATTACATATTGTATATAAAACTCGCATAAATGTACTTTAATGATCATTTTATCTGAAGCGAAATTTCAGAAGTATAAACCCCTCCCAAATATATTCTTGGGCTCGCCAGACTCGATTGGTTTTGAAATCGGGCTTTTGTTTCTCACATCGATTAGGAAGCAATTATAGACGTATAATGCGTTTAACGCCAAAATTGGCTGGTGTTCTTTACACAGCCCGCTTGTAATTGGAGTTATTGTTGTAATATATTTGTATTACTCTTCAAATAAGAGCAAGGGGGCCGGCATGTTTAGGTTCTTTCTTTGTTGGGCAGAAGGCCCCTTTTTGGTAATTATTTGCACAGATCTCACGATGGTCGGTTCTATATTACCGAATCGCCCCGTGTGACCTCGGGCTGAGAACCGTCGCCTCATTATACACGCTATTACTGAGTCGGTAACCGTTCATGCTGAGATGGCTCTTATTAAACTGAGAAAAAAAAACGATGAAATTTTATTAAGGTTGTTCTTTATATCTCTGTTGCTATAAATGGCCTCGCTGTCATCGGTTGGGTTGCTAACCGTCCAAGCTACATACGTATGCATGTTATATGCATAGCTGGGCACCATTTATCATTATGCGTAACTAACAAGTAATTCCGTTTGTTCAACGGAAAATTACTCAAATGGAGGATAAATTATTTTATTCGTTGTTTGAATAATGAAAATAAAGGAAATATTCGTGATAAAGTAAAAACGAATTCACTCACTCCCTATCAGAGATTATAGAAAAACATTTGTTTTAAAACATTTCAAATTGAAAACAAATCACGACTAATTTATTCAGAAGGAATTTATTGATGAATAATTCATTCGTTAATGGATTGCCTGCGAATTATTTACGGCTAAAATTTGTTCAAATAATGCCTTGCTCTGGTTCTGTGTATCTCAGTTATTCTGCGACGGAATCTTATTGTATGGTCGTCAAGCATGCATATATTCGGAGATTGTTAAGACAATCTTCTATGCAAAATGAGTGTTAGGTATGCTTCCGCTTAAAACATGTAAGAGTTCTATTTCTAATGCAAGTGAAGTTGATTGATGAAATTTAACATTTGCGGCTTCAGTCGTGGAATATTCTAGGTACCTATGAAGTGGAATACCTGGTTGCTTTCACGTTGAAGTCGCAAATACAGAGAATGTATTTACGAAGACTCGGTTGGTTCTTCGTTTGCTTCACTGCAGGGTGGTAGTAAGACCAATTTTACTAGTGGCCTTGTTACCTGGCCACGTTCGGTCATGATGTCCACCACTCGTACCCGAGTATCCGAACCTGGGTATAATTTTAAGACTCTTCCGAGTCTCCATTCATTTGGTGGTAAGTTGTCTTCCTTAATAATGACGAGGTCTCCTATTTTGATGTTGGCTTGAGGATGCCTCCATTTGTTGCGCTTCTGGAGTTCAGATAGGTATTCTGATTTCCATCGGCTACAAAACGTGTGATGTAAAGCTTTTAATCTTTGCCAACGATTTACAATCGTAGCCGTATTTTCGTTAGCATAAATTTCTGGTGGAGCTAATAGGTGTCCACCAACCAAAAAGTGGCCTGGAGTAAGTGGCTCCAAGTCTGATGGCTGGTTTGATGTGATTTTCGTAAAGTGGTTTTTAAAACTTTTAACCCCCGCTTCCCATAGCCCGCCCATGTGAGGAGCTGAGGCGGGAATGAAGTGCCACGAAAGCATTTGGTGGGTATATTTGGCTAAGGTGCTATTGCGTGCATCCATCAAAAAGGCTTTTAATTCCGCTCTCAGAGCTCTAGAGGCTCCGACAAAGTTGGTACCATTGTCGGAGTAGATGTTTCTTGGACATCCCCTTCTTGAAACGAACCTGGCAAATGCTGCTAAGAAAGATTGCGTACTTAGATCAGAGGTAGCTTCCAAATGGATTGCCTTAGTTGCGAAACACACAAACAGGCAGACATATCCTTTGGACATACGACAGCCTCGTCCACTATAACTCTTTATGTCAAAAGGTCCCGAAAAGTCGACTCCAGAATTTGTAAACGGTCGTGAAAATGTAGTTCTTTCTCTGGGAAGAATTCCCATTAGCTGTGTTTGCGCACGCTTTCGATAGATCGTACAGACCTTGCAATTATGAATTGTGGACCTAATCATGTTCTTGACCCTCGGTATCCAGTACTGTGTTCGGATTAGGCGCAGCATGAGCTGATTTTCGCCATGCAGCGAGACCTTGTGGACGAACTGGACTATCAGACGAGACAGGTGGCAGTTATATGGCAGGATAACTGGGTGACGCTCGTTATAGGCGAGATCACTAGATGCTCCTAGGCGGCCACCTGTCCTCATTATACCGTCTTTATCGATGAAAGGGTTAAGGGGTAGTACTTCACTTTTTGTACCTATTAATTTCTGAGATTTTAATGCTGAATACTCCTCCCAATAATGCTTCTTCTGGCAGATGGTTATCAAGCGGTTTATCATTGCTTTAATTTCATCAGCTGAAATTGAACAAGATTTCGCTGAAATGACGCTCTGGTTTTTGGGTGAGTTCTTTGAGAGAATCTCATTACATAAGATAAAACTCTCAAAGCTCTCGAGAAATCAGAAAATCTTTCAATAATATCATCGTGGATATCTAACGTTGTTGTTGCGTGTACCTGCACCCTTTTCTCTTCTATCACTGTATTATAGTCCTTTTCTTGAGTGGGCCATTTGGAGTGATCTTCTTGCAGCCAAGAAGGGTCCTCCCACCACAGCGAATTGTTTACTAATTCTTGCGCCGGAAGTCCTCTACTGGCTAAGTCTGACGGATTTGAGGTTGAATCTACATGACACCAATTTTCTTTCCCTACCTTTTCTATTATTTTGGTTACTCGATGGGCAACAAAGGTTGACCATGAGCAGGGTGGTTTCCGAATCCAGGCCAGGACAATGGTGGAATCCGTCCACATTTTTGTCGTAACATGCCCCAAATTCAGGTTATTGATAATCGAATCGAGGATTTCTGAAAGTAAAACCGCCCCACAAAGTTCTAAGCGGGGAAGCGAGATCGTTTTAACTGGTGCAACTTTAGTTTTAGATAGTAGCAGATTGGTGAAGACCCTGTCATCCTTTTCGACGCGAAGATAGAGCGAAGCCGCATATGCCTTTTCTGAGGCGTCGCAAAACCCGTGTATCTCAACTTTGGCTGTCGGTGAAAAGTATATCCAACGAGGGATACGAATCCTTTCGATGTGGCTGTAGCTTTCCTTAAAGCTTTCCCAACGGTCTAATGTGGAGGTTGATACAATTTCGTCCCACCTGGTTCCTTCTAACCAAATATTTTGCATTAAAATTTTCGCGGTAATTACAAACGGAGCGAGCCACCCTAACGGATCGAATAATTTGGCAATAGCCGATAGTATTGCCCTTTTTGTATGTCTATCCTGATTCTCAATTGGCTTGGCAGTGAAGTAAAATTTATCAGAATGGGCGTTCCACCTGATGCCCAGAGCCTTAACCGTGCTGGTGTCTTCGAAGTCCAAGAAATCTTCTTTCAGCAGATAGGATTTTGGGATACCATATAATATTTCGTCGCAGTTAGAAGTCCATTTTCTCAAAGGAAAACCCGCAGATTGCAATACTGTTGTGATTTCGTCCTTAGCTTTAATAGCAGATTCGATAGTATGACCGCCCGCTAAAACATCATCAACGTACATGTATTTTCTTAAGATGTCCGATGCAATGGGGTGCGAATCTTCCACGTCGTTCGCTAACCGAAGCAGAGTTCTAATCGCCAGGTAAGGTGCGCAATTGACACCGAAGGTCACAGTATTGAGTTCATAAAGTCTTATGGGTTCGGATGGATTAGTACGAAAAATTATG